TATTTTTTTTTAATTACTCTTTATTAGAAAATTGTATTTTTAAGTTACATAGCAGTTCAATAAATACATACATACAATCATACAAAATACATCCGATTGATATAGATAAATCTTATTATATAAAAAGGATACTTTCATTAAAATATGACAATCAATCAGAAAAAAAAAAATACATAACAAGAATCAGGAAGTCGTTAATATAAAGTAAACAAAAATGTATAGCAAAATATTGAGAGGTATATCAATGAAAATAAGCGCCAAATTAGATACATGTTATCAATAATGTAAATTCAGCTACCCAAATAGAATTACATCATCCATAAGCACGTCACCTAAAAAATTTATAAATTACCATAAAGTAGAGAGCAGTTTTTTAACCAAGTTGAATACCAGTCTCTTTTTTTAGAGACCGCTGACCAATTTTTAACCATATCATTTTCCATTGTTAGTTGTAATTTAATTTGATTAATTAAGGAGATTTTTTGAAAAGGAAAGGAAGATTTCCACTGTCTAGCTATAATAATTTTAGCTGCAATAAAGCAGTGGATAGCTAAACAAATATGTTTATTAGATTTAAAAGGCCAATTCAGGTGGAGGAGGGCCGAAGCTGGATTTCTATTTATATCTTTAAAAGATACCTCATTCAAAGATATTTCGGAGAAGATATTATAGGCCCAGTCCCAGAGTTGTTTTACTACTGGGCAGAACCACCATGTATGGATATATGTACCCGAGTAGGTACCACATCTCCAGCAAGTAGGGTCTTGAGAAGTATACATTTTAGCTAGTCTTGTCGGAGTATAGTACCATCTGTGAAGTAACTTAAAATGGCCCTCAGTCAAGTTTAGACCATGGACCGATTTATTTACTAGAATTATAGAGGAAGACCATTCCTTTGGAGAAATCACTAAGTTAAGTTCGTTTTCCCATGTTTTAACCAATTTATGGGGAAAGGTATCAAAACCTTTAAAGAGCAAATTAGCTACCGAAATAATCTTGGGTACAGTTTGAAATGAAAATAGAGTTTGCAACTCTTTAGCCTGAGGAAAAAAAGATTGGATAACATGTTTCTGGATATAGTGTTTGATAGGAACGTATGTAAATATTTCTTTAGATGGTATATGGAGATTATTCACAATCTGTTGAAATGGTAGAATATTATCTCCCTGCATAATGTCCGATAAGGTTAATGTATCTTTGTTGGGCCAATGTTTCAGTGATAAATCCTCTACATTATTTTCTAATATATTTAATTTACATGTTCTAGGAATTAAATAACTTAAGCCCAAAATTTTCCTAATTTCGACCCATATTTCCAAAGAGTGAGCCAATGATATTAAACAATTAGGCAAATCCCTTAAGAGCTTCCCAGGATCTGACCATATATAAGAATAGAGACTCAATGCATGTAAAGCTTCGGACTCCAGAATGTACCAAGATTCAGAAAAAAAAGATGGTTCTTGTAAAATATAAATATGTCGTATAGTATTGGCATAGTAAATATTAGTAATACTTGGAAAGTTTAGCCCTCCGTGGGACAATTTTTTGGAAATATATTTTTGACTTATTCTAGGCTTTTTATTTTTCCAGATAAATTTATTAATGGTGGATTGTATCATAAATAGCCACACCTTAGGGATTTTAAGAGGAGCCATTGAAAACAAATACGACCATTTTGGTAAAATATAAGAATTTATAATATTAATCCTACCTGTCCATAATGTTTCTAAGTTTTTCCATTTTTTTTAGGTTTTGATTCATATTTTTCATTAACTGCATAACATTCCTCTCCATTATATGGGAGGCGTTAGCAGGAAAACTAAGGCCCACATAATTAATTTCTGAGTCAGTCCAAATAAACTGGTATTTTTGAGATAGCCTTTCAACCTTAGTCAAAGATAGATTGATAGTTAAAGCAGTAGATTTTGAAACATTTAACTTGAAGTTGGAGATATTAGAAAAATTAACAATTTCTTCCATTAGTGCTACCAATGAATCTTCTGGAGATGTAAGGGTAACCAAAGCATCACCGGCATATAATGCAATTTTATTGTCTTGATGTTTCGTAAAGACCCCCTTTATTGACTGATTATTTCTAATATTAACAGCAAGAGGTTCAAGAGGTAAAATATAGAGAAGCGGTGACAAGGGACATCCCTGTCTTGTTCCATTTTTAAGGTCAAACCAAGTCGAAGTAATATTGGGACCTACAGTTCTGGCTGAAGGAGCAGAATATAATACCATAATTGCGGAATATATCCAACCCCTAAAGCCATATGCCTTAAGAAGTTCTCTTAAATAGCCCCACCCGACCCTGTCGAACGCTTTTTCTGTGTCCAAAGACAGGGCCAGGAGGGGCTCATTATGAACTTTAGCTAATCCAATAATATCTATGAGCTTTTGGATGTTATTTGATGCCCATCTTCCTGGGATGAACCCTATTTGGTCTGGATGAATACGTTTAGTAATAACAGTTTTCAATCTCTCGGCAATAATAGCTGAGTATATTTTCATATCAACATTAATTAATGCGATCGGTCTATAATTTCTTGCGTCCGTACTATCTTTGCCCGGTTTTAAAATAGGGACAATATTTGATTGTAATAATTCCTTTGGTATGACCTCATTTTCTGCTGCTTGATTAAACATTTCAGTAAGGGGTTTTAGAAGATACGATTTCATATATTTATAATATAGATTTGTAAAGCCGTCAGGGCCGGGAGTTTTATTTGTGGCTAATCTATCAATTTGAAATTGCACTTCTTCTGGAGAAATTTTTTTATTCAGATTGGTCAGATCCTGGGGAGAAATTCTCGGGATTTGGGTATTCAATAGAAAACTCTTGATGTCCTTTAATTCTGGGGACAAGCTTAGATTGTACAAATCTTGATAGAACTGATTAAACTTTTGTCCAATCTCCGATGGAGAGGAGTATACAATTTGATCTACTACCAATTTTTCTACTCTATTTTTGGCATATTGATTACGAAGCCTGCTGGTTAGACTTTTACTCGCTCTGTTGCCCGAAATATAGTGATTTAATTTTAGTTTATTTATGTTTAACTTGATTTTTTCCTCTTCTTTTAGATTAATTTGAATTTGTAGGTCTCCAGATATCATTAAATTATATTGGCTACAAATATTATTTAATTTTTTGGCTTGCTTAGTAGGTCCTGTATTATTAAGCGCGGTAGATACCGTAGTTCTATCCAGGAATGGATTACTAACACAGTTAAAATCACTCGCAGAGTTGCTCAATTAAATGTAAGTATAATATATTCAGTATCATTTCTAAGATATTTGAGAAATGACATACTTTATGTTGTTTTTTCTTTTTGGCTTTCATATTTTATGGAAAGGACATCTAGAAGCAAGTTTCATTTTGTATTTCTTTTATGGGTTTTTAAGTTGGTGTTACTGCAGTTCATATTGAGTTTCTGTCTAATGCACTTATAAATCACATATCAGGTACTGAGCCCATCCAGTATAAATTCTCATCTGGGATTCATGTTGTATTTCTGGATCGTATAACATACAATGACATGTAAAGGAACATATAGTAGAAAACAATTCAAGAATATACAACGAGTAAAATGCAGAGGATATATGATTAAAACAAAGAAGTGTTACTGTCATTAAGGCATTCCATCACTGTTGGTTCAGTGGCATATAGGCATGAACAGGTAAAAACGTAGTATAGTTTTAAGCATAGTCATACAATAAAATAATCATCATGGATAATTAGGGGCAGAAATCTCTCAGGCACTCTTACTATTAAGAACAGATTTTAACAAACACCTTGGAAGTCAAGACTCACTTAATATTCTCCATCACCAGCAAGAGACACTTGCAACTACAAAAGAAGGTGGTTTAGTGCACTGCGGTATGTGAAAAAACTCCAAATGTATTCTGTATTCTAAAAGTTCTATAACAAGCAATGTTTTTTACTTCATCATGAGGCCTTTGCCTTTGAGCTCGTCAAAGGTCTCATTACAAGGTGAATTGTGCTCGTTATGGGACCTCAATTTTGAGTGCTTTTAAATGCTGGACCATTTCTTTGTGCAATTTATTGCATTGTACCCCTATAGATATCATATTTCCCAGTGCAGTTATTATCAATTTAACTTTTTTATATCACCTGATATAACAACTCAGTTACTGAAAACTATCACAGAAAAACAATTAATGTGAACAATTACATCCAATTCTTTCAATGATACAGATGACTGCTTCTGTCATTAACATTTGCAAAAACCATTGCCATCAACTTAGATCTTTGAAAAAGATTTAAAAATGCAGATGTCTTGGCCAGGTCCATTATTCTTTTAATTTATAGCATCAAACAGGCTTAGAAAATCTCCTTTTATGTAGATTGTTTTGTTTCATTAGTCCAATTTATTTCAAAAGTTCAAGAAATAGCTTTCAGTCTTTCATGTAAGTATATAAGATTAATTTTGTCACAATATTGTAGGTTTAGAATTCTGGTCAAGTCTATAATCGAGATGAGCCAATTGTCAAAGTTCTCTGCTTTTAAAAAATCATGTTGGCCTGTGAAAATGTTAAATAATTTTGGGAGCGTCTTTAATTTAACTGGGCACGCAAAAACTGCTTTGCAAACTAAGTGCACACTTTTGTGAGCCTGTTAATGAATTATGAGCCATTCCAAAATTTTATATATATATATATATATATATATATATATATATATATATATATATATAATATATATTTTTTTTTCAATAGGGTGTAGGGGTACAGAAAGGGAAAAAAGGGGACAGTGGGGGGAGGGGAATGATTACCATCAGTAATAGCAGTTCACAGTATTATTATACAAGTAACCATTGCACAAGTAACATTGAGCATTTCAGGTAGCTCGTGTGTGTTATAAAACGGGCAAATCAGTGGTGTTAACTGTTCATCTATAACATTACATGGTTGGTGTCTTGGATCACACACTAATCTGTTGCTAACAAAACCATACCTTTATGTCGTTAGTGTGTTGGGGGTTATCCGATCACCATGTGTTCCATAGTTTCCACGACTTAGAGGGGGGCAATATGGTTTGAGAGTATTTTTCGTATATGTGTTGTTTATCTAAAGTTTGATGCAAGTTTGAGATTGGGGGGCGCCTGTTGGGATTTCCAGGCCCAGGCAATCAGTTGTTTTGCCGTTAATAGTATATGAAGTATTATTTTCTGTTTAAATCTTGGTGGTGGTAGTTGGATGTCTAGTAAAATAAATGTTTGGGGCATAAATGGCAGTGAGAAATCTGCCACCTGCGCTATTAGTGTTCTGACCATTTTCCAGTAGGAGGTCAAAGCAGCGCATTGTCACCACACATGTAGCATGGTACCCTCTTCAATGTCGCATCTCCAACAGATGGGAGACGTGGTGGGGAAAAAGTTGTGCAGCCTGGTTGGCACCATGGACCAGCGGTAAAGAATATTTCTGTGTTGTTCTATGTGGGCTGAGGATTTAATCAGGCCTCTTGGGATGTTAATTATGGAGTCCCATTGTTTCGGTGAGAACTTGCATTGGAGGTCTAGTTCCCATTGTTGGGCTGGTTTAGATGTCGGGAAAGTTATGTGGTCAGCTGGCAGTTTATAACACATGGAGATGGCTTACAAGACATTGGAGTTTTACCATTTATGCACATTTGTTCCCATAGCCTCGGTGTGGCAGCCCCCTGCGGCACCTTCAAAGTGTAATGCTGTGTGGGAAATGATTTAAGTTGCAGGTAGGAGTAGTTTGAGGTTGCAGGAAGGGCATATTTGGCCACTAAGGTTGGAAAGTCCATAAGAGTGGTTTGTCGGAAGAGGTGATTATAGGTGTGTTGCTCTGTGGTCATGCCATGGTTTGGCATTAAAAGTTGGTATACAATATGGCAAAGCCAAAATTGTGGTTGCTAGTGACAGGCCTGTGGTACTGCAGAGTATATGTCTAAATCTGTCCCACAATTGTAGAAAAATCTTACAGTGGAGGAACACACCTTATTTCTGTATTGTTTGGGGGTCTACATGATATTGGGCAATGTATGTGGCTTCAGGAAACCTGACTCCAGCGTTACCCAGTGAGGAGTAGTTTGGCTGAGGATGTGGGCAGTAGTAACTGCCAGCACAGTAGCCTGGTAGTATGTTTGGACATTTGGTACCGCCAGACCCCGGACCGCACAGGCGCCTGCATCAGCCTCCTCGCTACTCTAGGCTTCCCACCTGCCCAAACAAATCTCGCCCGGTCAGAGTGTATTGATTTAAAATAGGATGGAGGCAACATTAGTTTGGGTAAGATCGTCATTTTAAAGGAGAGTATGCACTCTGTTCAGGAGAGGAACAGTAGTGCCCACCTATGTAGCTGTGCTCTGCAACTGTTCCACTTTAATGTAATTAGCGGAGAACAAATCTGCGGGGTCCTTTGTGACCATTAAATCTAAGTATTTGTCATTCCTCTATTTGAACGGGTAGTCCCTGCGGACGGAGGACAGCTTCAAAGGGAGTCCCACACCAAGAGCCTGAGTTTTGCCAGGATTAAGGTATTAGTAAGGCACTAGACCATAGTTGTTTATTAAGCGCATTTGAGATGCCAATGATTGTTGTGGGTGGGTAAGGTACAGGAGGATATCATCAGCAAATGCACTAACTTTGAGTTCTGTTCCCAGTACAGATACCCCATGTATTTCAGTGTGGTCTTTAAATGAGCACAGTAAAGGTTGTAAGGCAAGCACATAGAGAAGTGGGGAGAGTGGACACCCCTGTCTCATTCCGTTGGAAATCTGGAACGTGAAGGAAAGGAAACCAGATTTCATAACCTGTGCTGAAGGAGAGGAGTACAGCACCAATATCTGTTGGATAACCATTGGGGGAAATCTGTAGACATCTAGAAGCGGTCAAATGCTTTTTCCGCGTCAAGCGCCAGCAACAGACCTCTCCCAACAGTCCCCCTAATCCGTTCCACTGCTATTGAGAGATTGTGGTCCCTAGTACAAACTCAGTCTGATAGTCACTAATTAGTGATGGTAGAATCGGTCCTATGCGATTGAACAGCATTTTGGCGTATATATTTTGCATCAGTGTTAAGAAGTGAGATTGGACAGTAGTTTTTACATATGTCTGGCATTTTTTCTGGTTTTGAAATGGTAACAGTAGTGGCCAGTATCATCTGGGGGTAAGGTGCCCGTTTCAGTCACTTTATGGAAAACTTGTAGGAGATGAGGGGCAAGTATGTCTGCAAATTTTTTATAAATACAAGTTAGTGAAGCCATCTGCTCCGGGTGCTTTACCAGATGGCAGCTGTTTTATGGGTTTGATATCTGTTAATATCTCTTGATCAGATGGAGTATGCGTGTGAGCGTCTAGTTTTAGAATGTAAAATTTAGTGTAAAATTGTGCAAATTCTTGGCTGATCTCCTGTGGCCCTATTTTCTTCCCCCCAAGCTCTCCCACTATGTGGGCTATTTTAGTAGTGGCAATTTTGGTTTGAAGTCTGGTTGCCAGGACCCTAGCTGCTTTTCCAGTGGTGTGGTACATAGTGGCCTGGAGTCTATGGTGATAGTAATCAGTTTTGGTGGCATTAGGTGTAGTGAGTTGGTGGTAAAGGGAGGTCAACTGGGCAGCTAGATCAGGTGATGGCGACTCTTTGTTTCGTGAAGTGACTATTGCAATTTGTTTGTAGCACTCTAGGAGTGGCGCCTGTCGCTGTCGCTTGAAGTGGGAGGACCTCTGAATGCCTCTGAAAGTGGCCTCTGACCACTGCTTTGTTGGCAGACCAAATCTCTGAAAGTGGCCTCTGACCACTGCTTTGTTGGCAGACCAAACCTTGGTATCTGAGACCCCTTCATCAGCAAATGTATGCTAGCAGGTTGTCCTGGACCTGTTTAACAAATTGCTCATCCCGGAGGATTGCGTCGTTCAGACACCAATTGCCTCGGAACTGAAATGTGTCAACATGGTTAAAAATACAGGGCTGTGATCCGACCAAGAGATGTCCCCTATTGTACAAGTAGAGACCTGGGCCAGGGCAGTGTTTTCCAATAAGAACGTATCTATCCTAGTGTAAGTGTTGTGAGCCTGGGAATGAAACGTGTAATAGAGTTCCAAGGGGTGGAGCGTTCTCCAACTGTCATATAGTCCATACATTGAAATCAATTTTGTTACATTTTTACAGGTAGCTTGTTGTTGCCTCTTTCTCGGTCTGGTAGGTCTGGCACTCGTGTTTTGAGTTGGGGATTGAATAAAGTTAAAATCTCCACATAAGATTAAGCAGGGAAGCCTAATATTATCTATTTTATGGAGAAGAGCCTGTAGAAAGTTTCTGGAGTCTGTGTTGGGGAAGTAGGCAGAGACCAAAGTGTATTGTATAGTATTGAAAAGCCCTAGCATGATAATAAATCTTTGTGGATCAATGTGGAGTCTCTGGAGTGTAAAAGCGGGGTCCTTGTGAATAAATATTGACACCATTTGGCTTTATTATAGAATAGGGCATGATACAGGGTCGGAAAGTGTTTTGTGAAGATATCAGGAATTCGTGGCCTACAGAATTGGGTCTCCTGTATGCATGCTATATTGACATTATGTTTTTCTAAGGTCTTGGAGGAGTAACCTCCTTTTACTCGGGGAATTTAGCCCCCAGTAAGGGGGGAATTTAGCTTGACATTAAAGGTTGCAATTTTCATGTTGGTAAAAGGCAGGTAAGCTGGTTGGTGGATATAGAGCCGTCTGGTTTGGGAACATTAGCCTCGGACGACACAATTATCAAACATTTTATATAAGTGCATGGGTGTCCGCAGGGGGGGGGCAAGGGGGGGCACTTGCCCCCCCCCTGGATTTTTCAGCTTGTTCTGCTATTTTTCGTGTGAGTTAAATTGAACTGCAATACCGGCGCCGGCCAGTAGGTGGCGCTGTGTATGGAGAGAGACAGGGATAGGAAGCTGCATCTTATCCCTGCTTCTCTCTGCTGATTGAAACCGCAGGGGAACAACACATGCAGCCAGAGACAGCCTACAGATCAGGTAAGTGGGGGATGGGGGGGAGGGTTTGAGAGGGGGGCAGCAGCCTATAGATTTGGGAGGGGGGCAGCAGCAGATAAATTTGGGGGCAGCAGCCCATAGATTTGGGGAGGGGGGCAGCAGTCTATAGATTTGGGGGGGGCAGCAGCCCAGCTTGGCCTTTATATATTTGGGGCAGGGCCCATGCAGCCTTATAGATTTTAGGGGCAGCAGCTCATAGATTTGGGGGCAGCAGCCCATAGATTTGGGCAGGGATTTGGGGCAGCAGCCTTTAGATTTGGGGCAGCAGCCCATAGATTTGGGGTAGGGGCAGCAGCCTTTTAGATTTGGGGCAGCAGCCCATGGATTTGGGGGCAGCAGCCCATGGGTAGAGGGACAGCAGCCCATGGAATTTGAGGGAGGGCAGCAGCCTATAGATTTGAGGTAGCAGCCTTTAGATTTGGGGGCAGCAGCCCATTAATTTGGGGGGGGCAGCAGCCCATTGATTTGGGGAGGGGGGCAGCAGCCTATAGATTTGGGGGGCAGCAGCCTATAGATATAAAGAAATGAACATGAAGGGTCAGCAAGGAGCTGGAAGGTAAAGCAGCACACAGGTAAAGTAGAAGGAGCAGAAAGGGTCAGAAATGAGCTGGAAGGGGCAGAAGGAGCACAAACATAAAGTAGGAGAAGGGGCAGCAAGGGCAAGGAGCAGGAAGGAGCACAAAGGGACAGCAAGGAGCACAAAGGTAAAGAAATAGAAAGCATCAGAAGGAGCACAAAGGTAAAGTAGGAGAAAGAGCAGAAAGGGACAGCAAGGAGCACAAAGGTAAAGTAGAAAAGGAAGCAGAAAGGGTCTGCAAGGAGCAAAAAGGGATCAGAATGAGAAAGGAGCAGAAGGGCGCTAAATAAGCAGAAAGTAGCAGAAAGGTAAAAGAGCAGAAGGGGCCAAGGATAGAAAACATTGTCAGAAGAAAAAAAAAAGACTGTCAAATGAAGGAGAGGAAAAGGAGATTGGAGCAGGAAGGACAAATGAAGTGAACTCTCCACTTTATTCTGGACACCATATCATAAGGCTTTGGTACCTGGGCCAGACAGGGAAACGCTGGACCTTCTCATCTCCAAAGGTAAAAAAATATCAGTATTAATGTGTTCACTTTTATTTATTGAGTGTCAGGAAGCACAGAGTGCCATTGGGTAGGGGTGTTGCTGATTGGCTAGAGCGGTCAGCTGGCACTCTAAGCCAATCAGTAGCTCCCCATTCATAAAAAAGTAAAAATATTTTATGAACTGGGAACTAGCGATTGGCTTAGAGCGTCAACTGACCACTCTAGCCAATCAGCGGCACCCATGCCTGACGTCAATCTGCACTTCCTGACACTCTGTTTCAGAAGCCAAATACCACTGAGCGACCTGTAGCTGGAGAAAGCCTTTGGGGTTAAACCTTTTGAAAGCGGGTTAACCCCTTAAAGGAAAGCAAGCACCCAGGGGCTTCCTGGCATCATAGAATTTTCATTTACGTGAATTTGTTATGGTGACCAGAAATGTCCTTTAATTTGCTTAAAGGAACACTATAGTGTCAGGAATACAAACATATATTCCTGACACCATAGTTGTGAAAACACTATTCACCCTGGCTTTATGTGATAATGGCTATGCCCCTTCCCTTTCATGACACTGTCAAAAAGGTACCAAGCATGGATGTCATTACAATTATGCCCCCCCCTGGAAAAATTCCTGCGGACGCCCATGTATAAGTGGTCTTTATTGCACCAAGATCTCAGTAATTTTGGACCTAGTTGGAAATAATTGGTCACATGGAACAAGTATAGCCTTTATATGAGCGAAACCTGATGGCAGGATGTCTGGGATATGAGCAGAACTGGGTTAGAGGGAGGACGGGGACTGAAGGGGCAATGAGAACAGAATGTAAAGAGTAACTCACCCAGTGTGAGCCGTGATGTGTCATGGAGATACCAGACATGAGTGGTGGGGGTAGTGACAGAGATTGCTTCCTCTGTACATAGCATCTCTTTTGGAGGACCGAGCTGTGAGCTGATTGAACCAAAGAATAAAGCACGGCTTTGAAATAGCTGATGGAGGGTAATTACAATGAGCTGATACACCAAATTTTATTTATTTGTATTTATTTATATTTTTTTGATCTATTTGTTTATTTTGTTTTTGGATGTAAGTATCTGTAGGCCCAGTTAGGTGGCCGAGCTCCACTGAATTGTAATCAGATTAATTGTCAGTCATAATCTAACCATATTCACCTAGACAGTGCTCTAAACCAAATCCTTAGTACCATGTTATAACAATAGGCCAGCATAAGACATTGCCTATGAGTAGTCTCAGTATATAGAGTCGTTACGCTTAGTGGTATATCAAGTGGTAGATAAGCAACAGTAACATTAAAGATAAAAATTGAACAAGATAAATAAATAAACAAAATTGCTAGTAATGTGAAGATGCCATTGATGTAAATACAATACAACATAGTCCGCCGCACTTATAGTTACTTGCGATCCCACTCTGGGGATATGCGCGGGATCTCAAGGGCTGGCAGGCAGGTGCTGATATGCCCCAGTCTTGGAGCTTTAGGAGGCCTCCCTCCAGGGTTGTCACCAAGTGAAGGACCCCTTCCTTGTGGATCAGGAATTTAGCTGGGTAGCCCCATTGGTACTCTATTTTCTGCGAGCGGAGCATGGCGGTAAGTGGTGCTAGGGACTTGCAGAATTGTTGTGTGGCTGCAGAGAGATCGGTGAATATCCTCAAATTGGTGTACAGTTTGGGCATATCTGTATTCCTACATGCGTTTATGATTTTTTTCTTTTGTGTGGGAAAAGTAGACTCTGGTAATCACATCTCATAATGCAGAGGGAAGTAAGTGTTTTGGTTGTCGCAATCTGGGGGCTCTATCTACCAACAGTTGACCAGGGTGTATCCCTGGTGTAAGCGCTTGAAACAGGTCTAATAGGTATGATTGAAGCTCAGTGTTGGTCACGGATTCAGGGATCCCTTTTATGCGGAGATTGTTTATATTCCTTGTCTGCCAATTTGAGCTTGTATGTTTGCAGTTTCTCATCTATTTCTTGCATCTTGTCAGCCAGACTGTTATGTGCGCCAGCAAAGTTAGCCATTTTCTGATCCATGCATGTGCTTCTTGAGCCTATGTCATGGATCTCTTTTCTTAGCTCAGTTGCTAATGCCTGTATTTGTGTGGTGACGTTACCTTGGATTGTTACTGAGAATTCAGCCATCATAGCTCTCATTGCTGTGACTGTCAGAGGTCCCTCTTCAGTGATTGAGCTTGGTGTGGCTGGGTGTGAGGGAGAGCTGTCCCTCGAGCAGACACCACCGTCATCTTGGGAAGGAGTGAGGCCTTCTTTTGATTTTAGTGCAGAGGCTCGTGCCCGAAAGAATGCGGCTCGGTCTGCTTTTGCCTGTTTAGATTTGTGCCTCTGGGACATCAAGGTCCCTCCGGTGCTGTGTATAGCCGTGTGGTGCTTGTTATGCCGATTATGTGCAGCTCCCAACCGCAAGGTCCGCAGGAGCTTCAGCAAGCTGCATCCATGTGGCTTGCGGTCGTAGCCACACCCCCCAAAATTAGATTTTTTTTTTTTATATATATATACCTAATAATCTTTTTGAATCACTCTAACAAGCCTAAGTTGTAAAGTATTGCATTGCTTCAATCCATTTTATGTACTCCGGTGTAATTTAGAGCAATTTGCATATTGCGAAAGAAATAGAAAATTCTATGAAAGCTACTAAAATGGAAGAAAACATTTAATATGCCTATTCAAGAAGAAAGGGAGGGGGGGATGGTGGAAATGGGTCACAACACAGACATATTCAATTATGTCAAGCGATTTACCCAGGTATATGAAAGTTTGTAAAAGAATGCTCCAAACAATGGTCATGCACTAACGTTATAGGCTGTTAAATGGACAGAATGACAGCTCAGCCTGAAAAGCATGTGCAATACTATAGACATATTCAATATGTTTGGATACATGTTTTTTTTTTCAGCAAAGGAAAGCTAAATTAATCATCAAGACCAACCATTCCATAAAGAAACACAATTCTTTATTTTTTAAGGTGTTCTTTCACTGTATTTGTTGAGATTACTGTAGCGTTTATGTAATAATTATAAATTCGACATGAATACGTATTCTGTACTGCATCTTTAACACCTTCACTACTGGCATAGGTGTGAGCAGCCTATTTCGTTAGGGTTTGCTCCGGAATTTTAATGTTATGTAATGTGAATATTTATTAAAATGTCGAGTAGATGTGTGGTATGGCCGTGTAGGTCTAGGTTGATGTTGTAGCTGTGTGTGTTGTAGCTTTCTATGCATGATGTATACGGCTGGTTGTGTGTAGTGTGTGTATAGCTGTGAGTGATATGTGTGATTGTGCGTGGGTAGCTGTGAGTAGAATGTGTATCTGTGTGAGTAGCTTTGAGTGATAAGTTTGCACTGCTGTGAGTGATGTGTGTGACAATGTGTGAAATATATCTGTCTTCCCACACATCAGAATTTCCATCTAGTACAAAATGGGAAGGGTGATTCAAGTTAGCTACCTTTCAGATCAACATAACTAGTGGGAGGAGGGGGAGTGAGTGGATAGTTGCTGTAGTGAGAGGTTAAAGGCAGTAGTGGAGTGGATAGAAGATATAGTGGGGTAGTAGTAAAGAACAGGGGCAGTAGAGGCATTCAGACTTATAGTTGGTGGTTATGACTAGTTAGTGGATAGAGGCTGAAGCGGAGGGATAAGACCTGTGGTGGGGGGATGGTTAGGGGCCGTAGTGCAGAGTAGGAGCTATAGCGGAGGGTTAGGAAGAGTAGTGATAAGGTTAAGGGTTGTAGTGGATTGGATAAGGGCTGTAATGAGGGATAGTGGCTGTAATGATTAATATAGGCAATAGTGAGAGACAGGGGCTGTAATGAGGTATGGAGCAGTAGTGGGGGGTTAGGGTCTTAAGTGTGGAGTTAGGAGCAGTAGTGGGGGGTTAGAGACTGAAGTGGGGGGGTTAGAGGCTGTAGTGGGGGAGAGGGGTGGATAAAAAGCTGAAGTGGTGGTTTAGGAATTGTAGTTGGGCATTAGGAGCAGTAGTGAGGTTAGAACATGTAGTGGGGGGTTAGAGGCACAAGTGGGGTATTAACAGCTGGAAAAGCCCTCTGGAGTGTCTAACTCTCTGTGACAGTTAAGATCTATTTTCAGTGTTTACTGAATCTGTTAGATGTTATTATCATGATATTGCATGCAACAAACAATATTAATATCTATAATACTTGCTTGAAGGCTAATCCATGCATCTACAACCTCTCCATAAAAAAAATATTTAATATTTTCATGCATTTTCTTTCCTAGCAACT